GCGCATCATGGAATTTCTTCCATCCAAAACTAAGACTGGTGGCTTCATTGAGGCGATGAGAGTCAACTGGTATTACCGCCCACGGGATATCCAGCGCCATTCTCCCGACACTCGCTTTGTCTTTGCTTCAATGCACTCCGACACCTGCCCTCTTTCTTCACTACGGGGCAAGTGTGATATTCGACACGTGTCAGAGATTGAAGACCTCGGTTGTTACAAGAAGACGAGGAACAGTTTCTGGTACGACAAAATGTTCGACCGATATATCCATCGTCTTTACGATGTCATTCCGACTAAGGATATTATTAATGTTCCGGGAAATGTTAAGAAAGTTCTCGACGAACGCTGGAAATTCATTCTTGTCGAGCTTGGCAAAGGAAAAGAATTGACGGGTGCTGTCAAGACTTGCAAGCGGTGCCGTTTGTACGCTGCAAACTCTGAGTCTGTGGACTGCGCAGTTTGCCTTTCAACATATCACATGCAATGTGTACGACCCGCCTTGACCAAGAAACCTGCTCGAGGCTTTGCATGGGCTTGTGCCGCTTGCAGTCGTGCCCAAGAGCGCAAACTCGAGGCACGTAACACCCCACTTACTGGCAGCACCCGAACAGATGGCGAAGATGTAATCATGGAAGAAGAGGAGGAAGAGGATCCTCATAATCATGCGAATGGTATAGCAAACGGAACCTCACCCAGCACTCCTGGGGCCGAGGAAGATTCCATGCCCCAGCCCGCAACCGTGGAACAAATTGCACAGGCTAAAATGTGGCCTTACCGATACCTGGGTATTCACTGCCGTGTGGAGGATGCTCTGGACTATGATGATCGAATTTACCCCCGAGCTAGCTCACGTTTAGGAACTCGACACCAGGCAATGGTCCCCGCTTGGCCAGGCCGGGCAGTTGAATACGTGAAGCCGCTTGATGCGAAGAAGAAGTCAAAGGTTCCAGGTGGCAAAAAGGACGGCAAACTCTCGAAGGATGCACAGGCAGCTCTGGAAGCTGCAAAGCACGAAAGGGCAAACCGACCGAAGTGGGTTCAAGATGAGCCAACGGGCTACGTGCATCGTGGTGAGGATGAACCGGTCGCAATCAATGGAAAGCAGGCTCGCACGGCAGAACTTCAATTCAAGATGCCCACTTCTGATCAGATCTCCGCCCGGGGCGAAGAAGATGCACCAGGTTCTCGTTTAAGCGGTGCGGATCGAGAAAAGTTCATCGATGACTACATGCGTCAAGCCAAGGAACTGGCCCCCGGTATTGGTGTTGAGAAATACTCTACGAATTTCCTCGACCGAGCCCTTGCACTTCTTTACTCTGAGAGGTTCGACGTTCAGGCTGCCCTAGCTAAGCTGAAGAAAACCAACAAGTACAAGGATCTCAAGGAACCCCACATTCGCCCAGAGGAGCTCAAGCTGTTCGAACAGGGTGTTGCTAAATATGGATCTGAATGGCGCAACATCATGAAGCATGTTAAGACCGTCCACATCTATCAGATTGTCCGTTTCTACTACATGTGGAAGAAAACTCCCAGCGGTCGAAAGATCTGGGGCAGTTATGAAGGCAGACGAGGCAAGAAGGAGGTACGCCGCCACAGCGTAATTTCATCCAAACTTCTGGATGATGTGGCCGATGACCATGATGATTCCGCCTTTGACTCCGAGAAAGCCATTGTGCAGAAGCGTGGATTCCATTGCAAGTTCTGCACCACCCGCCATTCGCGACAGTGGCGCCGTGCACCCCTAGTTCCACCGGGCACTGTTATTCCGTCTGAGCCCTCAAACAAAAAAGACAAGGGCCCTATGCTCACCGTGGCGCTCTGTCTTCGCTGCGCTCTGCTATGGCGAAAGTACGGGATTCAATTCGAAGATGTTGACGAGGTTGCAAAGAGAATTGCAAGCAGCGGCAACAAGTCATGGCGACGCCGCATTGACGAAGAAATGCTCGCGCAACTGATCGTAGCTACTGAAACTCCATTCGTGATCACTCCTGCTACGGCAACTACGGCTACCGCCATGGGAATTCCACTTGATACAAACCCTCGACTCTTGATGGAAGGAAAGGCAGAGACAAGGGTGGAAAGTAAGGTGGATCCGACACGAAAGAAGGCCAAGGAAACCCCCGCACCTTCAGCCACGACATCTATCGAGCCTATGCCGAAGAAGAAGACGGTCCCTGAGAAGGTGGTGGAAGCTCCACCGATTGTTCCCGACCCGCCCAAGGCCAAGACTCTCCCTTGCTCAATCTGCAACCTAGTCGGGCCTTCGGGCGAAGAGCATCTTTCATGTCGGGATTGCCGTCTGACAGTCCATCGCAATTGCTACGGTGTGCGTGATTCGCGCCCCGGCAACAAATGGCTGTGTGACATGTGCTCGAATGACCGCACTCCTTCGATTTCTACAAACTACACATGCGTTTTGTGTCCGGTCTCATGGACCGAGCACGACCTCATGGAGACGCCCAAGAACAACTCTCGGAAGAAGACTGAGCGTGACAAGGAAAAGGAGCGCATGGAGAAGGAGATGGTTGCCGAGGCGATTAAGCTCTATCGCCAGCGACAGGAAGCCGTTGGCAAGCCTGTTGGTCCTCGGGAACCACTGAAGCGCACTGCAGGCAACAACTGGGCCCACGTGCTTTGCACACTTTGGACCCCGGAGTTGAAGTACGGCGACGCAGAGGAGCTTGAGCCTGCGGAAGGATTCGGATGTATTCCCAAGGAGCGGTGGCGCGAGACATGCAAGGTCTGCAAGTCAAGCATGGGCGCATGTGTACCTTGCAGCTTTGCTGGTTGCAATGCTCACTTCCACGTGGGCTGTGCTTTCCAAGCACACTACCGGTTCGGCTTTGACATCACACCAGTCAAGAGCTCACGTCGCGATAGCATGCGGGCTATCCGTCTGGGCGAAGAAATTGGAGTAGCGACACCTGCTGTTTACTGTCCAAATCACAACGTGCAGACTGTTCTGCACGAAATCGGCGAGCAGACAAACCACGACCATCTAAATGCTCTCCAATTGTTCGCCCAGACCTACAAGCAGGCCGATCTTACTCTCACTGGAACCGTACGCAAAGCGGCGTACATGCATCAAGCTGTTGTAGCTTCATCACACCCTTCCACCAATGTGAACCGCCGGGCTTCGACGAGTACTACGCCAGCCTCCAAGGATACCCACAAAGCTCAATCGACTCTGGAGGAGGTGACTGAAGATCCTATGGACATTGATACTGACAACCATGTTGCAGCGCGACCGGCTGTTCCTGGCGTGGAGACTAATCGCAAATGCGTCCGTTGTGCCACCGGCTTTAGTCCTAGGTGGTGGGCCATTGGGCGACGACCTCCCATGGCCAATGGCTCAGGACACCCTCATCATCCGCCTCATGGTGCCTTCCCCCAACACAATGGGGATCCTTGCGAACTGGCATATGAATGTCACAAGTGCCATCTGAAGAATCCGGCGCCTCCTCCGCCTCCGCCTGTGCCAGAGCCTACGCCTGACCGGCGGCCTTCGCCTTACTCTGCTCAACGTCCTATGATACCCACTTCGCGAATGCCCGGTCATGCAAGTCATGCAAGTCATGCAGGCCATGCAGGCCATGCAGGCCATGCAAGCCATGCAAGCCATACTTTTTTGCCGCACCCGCACCCACACCAACACCAGCATCCTCCTCCTAGCGGTGTGCTTGGGCGGCCAATGCCTCCCGCTCACCCACCCAGCGGACTCCCGGGACCAGGATACACTGGACCGTACGAGCAACGCCACACGCCCGATATTGGTCTTCGTAACGGCATGTCGCCGTCTCCTTATACCCAAGCACAGCCGCCTCCGCATCACATGAACAACTACCCGCCACCTCATCCTGCAGGACCACCACCTCAACACTATACCAGTGCAGGGCCTTCGGGACCACCGCCACCGTATCCCACCCATCAAAGCCCGTATGGCCCTGTGCCAGCCCGCTCGCCGCATCTTTCGCAGCCACCCCCACGATCATATGCAGCGTCCGCATCCCCTCCAATCGTGCAAGCCACGACGATCAACCGATCACCGCAGACCTCGCTAAGCGCTCTCAATGGCGGCCCGCCTCCTCGCATGTACCCTGTCGAGCGTGTGGTAGCAGCTCCCTCTCATTCCCCCCCGGTGACGCAAGCACGTATTAATCCGCGGGGGCCCACCGCCACTCCTCCTACTCGACCGGAAGATACGCCACCTGCCCTGATGGGCGGGCCGCCAAGCAGCAGACACTCCGGTGTCAATAGCACAGGGGCCGGGACCGGAGCGAGCGCAAGCCCATCGCTGAAGAACCTTCTTTCATAACGATATTACCACATGATTGCTCATAATCGAGTTGTATGATAGTGACCTTACTCCTTTCCTATTTGGCTTTTACTACTACTGCTACTGCATATGCATTCCACGGCATTCCATGAACCAAAAGTGTGTTCAGGGTTGGGCTTCCTTTCTGGTTTGTTTTCTTTTTGTTTTTCTTTCTCTTCTAGCCACAAAGATCCCGAGCCTCTCTCCAGCCGGTCGATCCATCTTTCACACTTTATGGTTTTTTCTGTTCTTTTGTGCTTGTTCTATTTCTGGCGTCTTGAACTACGGTACCTGGGAAAAGTGCGTGGAGTCTGTTATGGAGCGGTTGGAGGGCTTGATATCGTCGAAAATCATGGATTGCATGGAGTAGGACGGGCCTGTTTATGATTGATATTACCATTACCCATTATTTCCAGCTAGATCAATGGATTAGCATTGCTACGACCTACTTTTTCTTTCTGATTCTTCATAAGACTTGTACATTATCCACTCGGTTGTCCGGCACCTGGCCTCTCGATGTAGTGTGGACCTCGGGAGCTGTCGATGCTGACAAATGCCCGGATGAGGTCAGCTCACTACTGGGATCGCTGTTGGCTGCTGGGGACGTTAAAGGACATACACTGTCAGTTTTTGCATCGAAAATAATCATTGGACACTTTCTATATCACTCAGGTCGAGCGACACCATGCGAGCTATCGGTAAGTGAACGCGGGGTTGAAGAATGTCCCCCCGCCCCCCACCTGATGTCATCTACATCATTTTGAAGCTTTGAGGGTCATTCATGAACCTTGTCAACCCATCTGCCCTCCGCACCCTCTTTCCTCTATATCCCTTTCTCCAACTCTCCGTACAATTTCAATCCCCAAATTAACAATGCCCAGGCATTAAAGGCGGCAAAGGTCCCGCAGCAAATCTCTTCATCGACCAGATCGCCAAGCCCACCGCCGCAGATGGCGAAGCCATCGTCAAGATCCGGGCCTTCGGCCTGAACCGCATGGATCTGCTTCAGCGTGAGGGCCTGTACCCTCTTCCAGCCCAAGCACCACCAATCATGGGCGTAGAGTTCTCCGGCGTGATCGAGAGCTTCGGGCCAGACGGACACGAAGACTTCAGGATCGGTGATGAAGTATTCGGTCTTGCATACGGCGGCGCCTATGCAGAGTACATCGCCGTTTCAATACACATGCTAATGCACAAGCCGAAAGAGCTATCATGGGAAGAGGCCGCCGGAGTTCCGGAGGTGGGCACATCTATCACCTCTCCCAGAATGGCACTCCATTAACCAAATCCCCCACAGACTTGGATCACGGCTTCACAAGCGCTGTTCCTAATTGGCGAATTCCAATCGGGCCAAACCGTCCTCTGGCACGCTGGCGCATCCTCAGTCTCAATCTCGGGAATCCAACTGGCGAAAGACGCCGGCGCAAAAGCCATCTACGCAACAGCGGGCTCACAAGAGAAAATCGACTTTCTGGAAAAAGAACTCGGTGTGACAAAGGCCTTTAACTACAAGACCCAAGACTGGGCGGCCGAGATCCAGAGGGCGACGTCTGGCGCAGGTGTCGATCTAACAGTCGATTTCATCGGCGCGACGTATTTTCAGGGTAATCTTGACGTAGCGGCTCGTGACAGCCGTATCGTCTTGCTAGGTCTTATGGGTGGCGGCAAGTTACCCGAGGGAGTTAATATTGCGCCGTTACTGTTCAAGCGTGTTCGAATTGAGGGGAGTACGCTACGCAGTCGGGATCTTGGATACCAGCGGAGATTGAGGGATACGCTTGTGGAGCATGCTTTGCCTCGGTTCTGTGATCGGACGTTTAAAGTTTTTGTGGAGAAAATCTTTCCATTTGGGGAGATTGAGGCGGCCCATACGTTGCTTGAGAGCAACACTACTAAAGGGAAGATCATTTGTGTTTTGGAGTAGAGGTGAAGCTCTTTCAACTCTCCAACTCCATATGGAATTAGTCCCTGCACAGCACAATTTTCATCGGTGAATTTGACGTACGTTGTATCCAAATTGGAGATAATCGTTGTGCACGATCTGATAGGCAGTGATCCACCGATCAACGTAGGAACCCCCATTGCCATTTGCAGCATGCAGAATACACAGAGCAACCGTAGTAGATTGCAACCTGACCAGGATGGGTTGAAAGTACCTTGAAAGTAGTAGAGACATCCAGCTATCCCTTTGATTGGCCCAGGGTCCCAACCCCCCATGGCACCCATACTGAGCCGTGGATGGGGGTAAGGTTCACAGTTCATATCAACATTAGCCATCATACATCCATATATACCTGTATAGAGCCTATGATTATCTGACGTCTTCGTAACCTTCAAAGATCATTGCATTAGACTGTGTCAAGCGGTGCAATGATCCTTTTCCGGAAGTGGAGACGGGAACGACTAATCAGTGAGATCACCTTGGCAGTCAGATTTGGCCCCAAATGGGCCCAAACGCCCTATCCACTCTGGTTTTTTGGGGGGGCTTTTTCTTTTTTTATTTTTTTGATTCTGCAGAGTGGTACGGAGTACATTGTATTCATATCCTAGTTCAACAATGTACTTGTGAGTCTTTGACACCTTGATTTATAATGCAATTCCATTTCTTACATCTCTCTCTCATCACGACTAGATCCGTCCGGGGTTCTATCTCTCCACTAATCTCGGGGCTTTTGAAGTCATCTCAACTACATAGCCACTTTAGAACCAGGTGTTTGGTGTTACAGAATCTGCGCTTACTAACCCGCTGGCCTTCTAGAAAAAAAGAGAGAGAGAGAGAG